CTGTCTCCTCTAAACACTTTTATTTTGAGAAAATATCCATTCTTCCTTCAGGGTCTTTATTAACTGCCGTCAGCTGTATTTTTCACAGAACAAACAGGTTTCAGTTTGGTTTTTATCAGCTCCCCCACAAGTCTTCCAAATTCCTGCCTGCTGTAGTCTAAATCTATGTCTTGGGGCCAAGGAGGTAGAGAAGCTCCGCACCTACCTTCTTATTCTTCCACCATTGTTGATTTTCTCCTGGGAGCCGTGGTCAGTGGAGAGACCCACTCTGGAGTCTCCAGGGCACCATCAGGGGAGTCACTGTGTTGAAGGTGCTATCAACCTGTTTTTATCCAATAGAGTATTTCTCCAAGAGCAAATGGATGTTTTTGTTTTTGTTTTTTTTATTTAATTAGAAAAGAAAAGTCTTTGAAAGCATGAAGGAAGAGGGTCAGTTCACCCAGGGCTACACAGCAAGACCTTTTTCAAAGAAAATGAAAACTTGTAAAAGTCATTCCAAAGGCGTGACAGGGCATGGACTTCTCTGATTTTGTTTGTCTAGTCCCGTTGCAGACCCCAGGAAGAGCGAGGTCTCAAAGGTTCTAATGATCCTGCATTGCCGTCTCATTCTGTGTGAGCCTCCTCTGCCCCCGCCCTGGTGGACAGTCTGGAACTGCCCAGTGTTGGCCAGCGTGCTTCTTCCATGCATCTGGATTGTTCTCTGTCTTCCGTCACTTTTCATGTTGCTCTCCACAACAGTGTGTTCTCTCTAAATCCTGGTACAGGACAACACCCCATACTTGAGGTCCCCATTGAGGGCCTCTGTTCATCCTGTGCATCCCAGGCTAGCCCCTGTGTGGGACAGGGGCAATACACCTGCATTGCCAGCGAAGTGGCAGCTCAGCCTCCTGCCAGCCCCTGTGTGGCCCCAGCATTTCACTCAGTGTGGCTGCAGGTGGCCTCCGCTTGACCCTGTGACTTCAGAGGGCCAGCTCCAAGGAGTGCACGCTTATTGGGACCTGCATGGTCTCGATCTCTCTGAGACTGTGGGCACAGCCTCTCATGATTCCCTCTGCGGTCTCATTCCCCACAAGCATTTCAATCAGGTCCAGCCATGGGTCTGTGCCATGTGTATGTCCTCCTGCCTCCTCCCTGGGGACTCATGCACCCCATGTCAGTTCTTGCTGGCCCTGCATCGCTACAGCCTCCCTGTGCTGCACCCGGTGCTCAGCACGTGTGCAGCACCTCTGCAGCCTCCTGACATGGAGTTCTTGGAAGGTTCTTCCCCCTGCAGTGTTCCCCCACTTCCTCCGCACTCCCGGGCTTCCCGCCGACAGTCCTCCCGCCACCCGCTTCAGTGTATCTCTTACGTGTAGCAGGCAGAGCTTCAGCTTTGCACACTAAATGCTAGTACAGAGTGCACTGAGAAATGGTGAGGAACAGGAGTGGGCAGGAAGGAAGTGGGAGGCAGACAAATCCATGACCAGGAAGTAAGAATCAAGCTTCATCACTCAGCTGGCCAACTTACAGAAGGCCCAGGAAGACCCATGCCCACCCCCACTCGGCTGTCTCCACTGTCCCCACGTCCATCATCCTCTGGATAAGAAGAACCCACCCCCACATCTACTCTGCTGTCCCAATCACCTCCAAATCCACCATCCCACAGCCCATTCTAGTTGACCTTCATAGGAAAAAGAACAAAAAGAAAACCTCCCCGACAAGTTTCCAAACTCTAGACCACTCCAGCATTAACTCAGCAGTGGAAAGATGTCACGCAAGATCCTTGTGCTGAACTTCTGAGCATGCTCACTCAGCTTCCGTGGTCCCAGCGAGAGGAGCAATCTCTGAGCTAAGGTCATTGCTCCCGTGACAAGGACACAGCCAGGATGGGAAGACAGGCTAATCTTAGCAGCCATCTTTACTCTGGGCACTGTGC